TCAGCTGCTGTCAGACCCAGCACAGCAGTGAAACAGTTCAGTTGAGTCCAGTTCCTTTATGTGCTTACACCTTACAGACAGAATCTTGCCAGACCAAATCTATACTACAGCAACTAGTGGGTATACCCTGGGAGATTCTAGGGAGTGGCTACCCTGAACCTCTTTCGCTTCCCACGCTCCCCCTGCGGACTGTGCTGCCTCTTGCCTCCTCCCCCCTCCTGGCATGTACCTCCTCCCTCCTGATAGCCTTGCTCTCTGCTGCAACCCACATCACCCTCCCCTTCGTAGACAGATTCCATCACATCACCCCCTTCTGCAAGGCTGGATTCCCCCTCCGAGTTCTCTGATGACTCCTCCATGTCAGGCGGCTCTTCCTGCAAGACCGCTACAGAATTAGGAAAATCAGCCCCCCTCCCCCTTGGGAGATGCATGCCGGAAGTTGAAGGCTGAGCATCTTCAGTCTCGGCGCTTTCCTGCCCCAGGGCCCCTCCCAAACCTCCCGCCTGTTGACTCACAACCTCCTCTGCCACGCCAGTGAAAGTCGTGCACCAGCACTGGAGTGTGTACATCCCTTGTGTTCTCCCACAAATGCTCGGTCTCTGGGTACCCTTTCCCATGAATCAATATTGGATCCCTTTCCCTCTCTGTGAAACCAAGATTGTGTCCAACCCATATTCTTCTTCCCTTCCACTATCGCTGGTGTGGGGGGGTGGATCCTGGGATCTCAAGGCACTTGGGGGTGCTTCCTTGACTAGCAAGGAGAGATGATAGATGGGATGGACTTTCACTGAAGCCCGTAGCTGCCAATGGAAAGCCACTGGGTTCACTTGTCGAATGACAGCGGAAGGGCCCACAAACTTGAGTCCAATTTCTTAGATGGCCTGGTGGAAGTTAAGAACCTAGCGGAAAATCATGCTTTGTTTCCCTCTGAAATCACCGGCCCCTTCTGCTGCCTTCACCTTTAGAAGTTGCTTTTTCAATAGCTCCTGAGCTGCCTGTTGCTCTCTGAGAAATCCTGCTGTGCTTGGTACAGCTCCCTTCTGTTTGTGGGAAAAACCTGTGGGGGGACTCCATACAATGCTTCAAATGGTGGCATGCCAATCGAAGAGTGCACAGAATTGTTATATGCGAATTCTGCTAAGGGGAGGAGTGCAGCCCAGTTATCTGGGCTGTATGTGCTGTAACATCTTAAATAGTGCTGCAATACCTGGCTAGTCTTCTCCACCTCTCCATTTGTGGAAGGATGGTGGGCAGAAGACAGGTGAACCTGTCCATTCAGCAACTGGAAAAGGGCCCTCCAAAACCTGGAAGTGAACTGACTTCCTCTATTATTACGGGGCTAACCATTCCTCTGTAGCAAAATACATGGTCTAAAAAGAGCTGTGCCGCGGGTAACCCCTTGCATGGTATAAAATGTGCCACCTTAGTGAACAGATCTACTACCACTAGTATCAATGTATATCCTTGCACCATGCGTAGATCAGTGATGAAGTCCACAGACACTGTAACCCAAGGCTGGGGGGGCGGGGGGTGTTTAATGGCTGCAAGAGTCCAGCCGGCTTCCCACGAGCTGGTTTAGCCTGACAGCAAACATGGCATGAGGCAACATAGTCTTTTATGTCTGTGGCCATCTTCGGCTACCAATACTCTTAGAGTCCTGTGGAGTGTTTTAAGAACTCCCCATGGCCAGCTGTCTCATTGTCATGGCAAAGCTGCAACCCCTCCTCCTGTAAAGGAAGGGGAATGTAAAGGCGGCCCTTATGCCAAAGTTGCCCCCTTCCACTGAAAATGGGGAAATAGTATCTTGTTGGGCCCCCGGAGGTCATCCATTTGGGACTACACATACAGGTCCTGCAGCTGCTGTATCTTTATCCGCGCAGAGGTCTTCAGCCTGTTGACCAGCCCCCAACTTCTTGGGTATGTAATCCTTGCACTGTGCCTAAAGTTGTGAGGTTGCAAGATTGTAGCGCGGGGAGGTGGTTGCTGAGCCTTTAAGTACTCTGGCTTATGCGAGAGCACATCTGGTAGCAGGTTTCGGGAACTAGGCCCATACATTATGTAGAAGTCAAAATGGGAGAAAAATTGGCTCCATCTTGTCTGTTGGGGGTGTGTGTGTGTGTGAGTGACTATGTATTCTGCATTCACTCCAAGTTCTTGTGGTCTGTGCAAACCTGTATGGGAAATTTCACCCCCTCCAGCCATTGTCTCCATTCCTGGAAGACTGCCTTGACTGCTAGCATCCCCTTATGAAATATAACATAGTTTTTCTCTGCGGGTGACAGCATGCAAGAGAAGAAGGCCCACGGGAGCAATTCCCCTCCCTCTCCTTTCGTAGCCTGCAGCAGTACCGACAGCAGCATCTGAAGCGTCGGTCTGGAGGACAAACTGCCGTGAGGGATTGGGGTGATGGAGGAGGGGCTGAGAGGCAAAGAGCTGTTTTAAGTCCTGAAATGTGATTGCTCTTGTGCCATCCAAGCAAATTTCCTTCCTTTCTTCAAAAGCTGCGAAAGAAGCTTAACCCTGTCAGCAAAATTAGGAATGAACTTTCTGTAGAAGTTGGCAGACTCCAGGAAGGAACATCTTTCACATTACAGGGGGAGTGCCATGACAACACCGCTTGCACCTTACTGGGTCCATTTGCAGCCCCTCTGTTGAGATCCTGAACCCCAAAGAGTCTAATCGAAATAAATCAAATGCACACTTTTCCAGTTTGGCAAACAGCTTATTCTTCCTCAGCCTTTGCAAGTCATTTCTGATGTGCATCGTATGAGATTCTGCATCCTCAGAATAGATTAAGATGTCGTCCCAATAAATCACTACATACAAATCAATGATGTCAGAAAAAATATGATTCGGGAATCTGGAAAACACCGCCCCACAATTAACAAGTCCAAACGGCATTACTGTATACTCAGAACTTTCCATACCTTGTATCAAAGGCAGTTAGGGATTCACACCCCTCCTTTACCCGAATGAGGTTGTAAGCATTCCTGAGGTCTAACTTTGTAAAGATGCGTGCCTTCTGCATCTGATCTAAAAGCTCTGATATCAGTGGAAGTGGGGAATGATCTCGTATCGTGACCCTATTTAGATCCTTGTAATCACAGACAGTGGGCATGGAAGCTCCCTTGCTCGGCCTCTGTGCTGAAGTCATCTGTGGGTCTGGCTTCCTTGGAACCAAGAAAGTGGGAGCAGAGGCTGGGGACTTTGATGTTCTAATAAATCCCTTCTTAAGGTTTATATCCAAGTATTCTTTCAGAATAGCTAGCTCCTTGGCAGACATAGGATATTGCTGACTGGCAGGGATTTTTGCCCCCGGTTTCAAATCAATCGTGCAATCAGTCTTGATGGGGGGGGGGGAAGTGCAGTAGCTTCCTCATCCCCCAAAACATCTGCGAAATCAGCATACTTGGTGGGCAGATCCCCTCACCCCTCACCTGGATGCTTGTTTGGGAGCTGAGGAGAGACTGGCCATCTGCATCCAGTGGTGCTGGCAACCTGGGGGGGGGGGGGGGGGGGGGAGGAGAGTGTTCCTTGTAGGGTTGTGGAATCTCAGCCATGAGGTGCCTAATACTAGGGGTACATGCAAGGAGGCTGTTATGTATAGGGGCAAGAACTCTGTATGTCTGTTGAAAGAGAATTGCAACGGAATAGTGCACTGCACAACGGGACCTGCCTTCAAAGGTAGGGCATCTATCGTTTCTACCTTTATTGTTTTTTTTAAGTGTACCGCCGGTAATTGCCATTTGCGTACCGCCTGAATATTTATGAAGTTCGTGGTAGCCCCTGAATCAATAACAGCTTCCAGCTGTCTTGCAACCAGATTCTAAGGTTATTGTAACAGGGGTAAGAAAAAATGCTTGCCTGTTCTCTTCAGAATGAGCTCTCCTTATCTGCTGGACGGCCCCCCTTGTGAGCTCTCTTGAGGGGCCGGCAAAGTTTCCCTGGTTTGCAGCTGTGGCTGAAACTGTGCGTTTATTGGGGGTTTGCTCTGATTGTCTAGCCCCTTGTTGGATTCGTTGCTGGACATGCTCTTATGATATGCCCTGGGGCTCCACAGTAAAACCAGAGACCCAGACTTCGTCCTCTCTGTTTCTCCTCCAGAGACTGATCTCTTGGCAGCTCCCACTTGCACTGGCTCCCCCACCCCTGAATCTGAGGCTACTGTAGGGAAAGGAGGGAGAGCTATGAGGGGAGACCCACTGCCACTTCTGCTTCCGATACCCCGACTGTTTCAATTCCTCCAGCTGGGCATCAATTATCACGCCACACTGGTACAGCTCATTGAAGGTGGCTCAATGACCTCCCCTGCCTCACCAGCTCATCCCGAAGGTCATCATTCAACCCCTCCATAAACTGGTCAATGAGAGCCACCTCGTTCCATCCGACGTCTCTGGATCATAGCTTAAAATCTGCAGTGTACAATCTTACTCTGTTGCCCTGTTTGAGTTTCCGAATCTCCCGATTGGCTGTGACTCTCTGGATGGGATCCCCCAAAATGGCCTCTAAATCTCCCAAGTAAATCTCTGATAGTTGTTCAGCATTGGGTCGTTGCCTTCTGTCATGGGAATGGCCCATTTTGCTGCCGACCCTTTCAACAAGGTTACTATAAAGATCACTTTCCTGTTCTGAACTCTGCAGGTCTGCTGCCCATGAACATCTTGCACTCCATCAGGAAGGTCCTTAATTGATCCGTGTCCCTTCCATATTTCTCTGGTAAGCTTCCATGAGAACACAACAGCCCTGGCGGTCTGGCTGTGGGTTGTTGAGCATTTTGCCTGAGCCGCTGTACCAACTGCATCACCGCAGCTTGTAAATTATTGACCTGTGTGTCCACTTGCTGCTGGTGCTGCAGTAAGGCGGCTGCTCGATGCGGTGGCGTTAACCGTGCTCCTTGAGCATCTGTAGCCATGATCAAATTGTCCTCCCTCTTCTTGGGAGTATGAGTCTGGCAGGATTGATGTCAGGCCCAGCCAAGAACAACGGTGAAACAGTCCAGCTGAGTTCAGTTCCTTTATTTGCTTACACCTTACAGACAGAATCTTGCCAGACTACATCTGTACTATTGCAACCAGTGGATATACACTGGGAGATTCTAGGGAGTGGCTATCCTGAATCTCTTACTCTTCTCACGCTGCTCCTGTGGACTGTGTTGCCTTTTGTCCCCTTTCCCTTCCTGGAATGCACCCCCTACTTCCTGATAACCTTGATCTCCTCTGCAATCTATCACAGTTGCCTGCTGTTTCACTCCAATAATAGTATCTTCCCTGGATGTTTTCCACAATCTCTGAGGCTGTATGTTAGACCTTAATACTAACCCTGCCCTCTAGGATGTCCCTCCTGGATGGATTTTCATGTGTTTATGAAACATGGAAGAACTAAAGAATCTTTTTTCACACATTGAGCATCCGTATGCTTTCTCCCTGGTATGAATCCGCTCGTGGACCACCAAGTTGGATTTCTTACGGAAGTTTTTCCCACAGTAGGAGCACGTATGGGGCTTCTCGCCCGTGTGCACTATAGTATGCTTCCTGAGATGTGAGCTAGAAACAAAGCTCTTTCCACACTCAGGACACCCGTAGGGCCTCTCTCCTGTGTGGGACCTTGCGTGGATCACGAGCCGTGACCTCTGACTGAAGCTCTGCCCACAGTCTAAGCACTGATACGGCTTCTCACCCGTGTGCGTCCTTTTGTGTGTTTTCAACTGGGAACTGGTCCGAAAGCTTTTCCCACATTCGGGGCACTCATAAGGCTTTTCACCCGTATGCGTCCTCTCGTGTTTCACCAGCGACGCTCTCTCACTGAAGCTTTTGCCACAGTCCAAACACTTGTGTGGTTTCTCACCTGTGTGTGTCCTTTTATGGAGTTTGAGGTGGCAGCTGATCCGAAAGCTTTTCCCACACTCGGAGCATTCATATGGCTTCTCTCCTGTATGGGTCCTCTCATGTTTGATGAGGGCATCTCGTCCAATGAAGCTTTTGCCGCAGTCGGAGCATTTATGTGGCTTTTCTCCAGTGTGGATCCTCAGGTGCTTGACCAGAATCCCCTTTTCCCCAAAAGCTTTTCCACACTCGGTGCATTCATACGGCTTTTCTCCTGTGTGGGACCTCTCATGTTTAATCACAGTGGATTTTGCATTAAAGCATTTGCTGCATTTGGAACATTTATACGGCTTCTCTCCTGTGTGGATTCTCTTGTGCTTCACGAGGTTTGTTTTCCAATCAAAACTTTTCCCGCACTCTGAGCAAAGATACTTTTTTCTTGCTGACAGAGTGCTCCCCTGTTGAACAATGGAGGGTTTGCTGTTACTTTTCTCATATTTATGCAGTTTATCCTTTGCTTGCACATGTGGAGCATCTGGAACACTGATGGTTGGACACCATCTCTGGCTCCTCTTAATTCTGGACTTTTTGCCACACTGAAAATTGGCTTCATTTAAATTTTGATCACTTACTTCAGGCAGGAAAGCTTCAGTGGCTTTCGTTCCCGAGTGCCTTTGTGATCCCTGTGGAGTTATCCTGGAGTCCCGGAAAAATGAACTTTTGACTCCTTCCAATGGACTCTTGCAAATGTCTATTTCTTCAGATCTTCCCACCTGGAAGGTCTTCTCCTTATGAGTTGGTCCATATCTATCATATTCTAAGAGAAACAGAAAACCACTTACGTCACATTGCCCCCCAACAATAAATTCCATTTCAAACAATTTCTTGTATAAATTCTAGTTTGGCAGGGTCTCCTCAAGGACCTAGTCCTCCCTCTTCCATTTGCCCTAGTCTCTTAAAGGCCACCTCATGTTCCCCCTCCCATTTAACCTAGGAAATCCCAAATTCAAGCATCCTCATTTGATGGCTTTCCTACATCAACCTGAAGACTTCAGTTTGGGAGGACATCATCAAGAAGACTCTCTTCTTGGGCAACAGAGAATAGTTCACATATCACTGAGACACTGAGCAAGTGTTTGGATTTGCTGGCCTCCTCCAAATGTCAGATTCTCTAATCTGTACCACTAAGTTACGGATCTCATCATGGAGAAAATCTATCTATGTGGTCATTAATAATCACATTGACTTGATGGCGTATAATCAATCCATCGCATTATGGATGCACCTGACAGAAATTGGGAACAAAGGCGACAGCTAGCCCAATATTACACGCTCAACTTACAGGAGGTCTCTACCTTTTCTAGCAGTCACATCTTTCCCATTCTCTGCAACCTAATCCTTTCAAGCAAAGATTCTGTGAACCAAAAATTCTGTGATGGAAATTGGGACCATCTCTTTCCCCAGAAAATGCCATTTGGCTTGGTGGACCATCAGATGTGAAGGACTGCACAACCAACTCCTACAAGATGCTGGCACTTCCCTGGGTTTCAAAAAGAGTGCAGAGAACCATCTTGGCTCAAAGCACCCCAGAAATGTTTGCAGTTATTGACAATCTGCATCCTTACCTAATGATTTGGCCTCCCCATCATTCTCTTGCTTTATCTCCAGGGGAAGCTTCACCTTCACAATGTCCAAGGCCTCTTCCTCCAATCTGGGAGATTTTAGCATCGTATTCTCCAGGGTTTGGGATGCCTGAAAAAAGAAAAAAGGAAAGTTGATTCAACTCAAAAAAGTCCTGAAGGAAGCATGCACCAGGCTGACTCTCTATCCCCTCCAGGATGACTAACGCTCAAAGCAGCTGGGGAAGATGGGATCCAATTTGGAGATTTAATACAGAAAAATCCCTTTTCCTGAGCCAATTTTGAAGTCTGAATTCCCAAATCAAATCACATGCTAAGTCAGAATTGGATTAGGTGCAATTTGCATACCCCTAACAGTAACACTTTATTTCCTCCACAGCTAATACAACAAAGGAAAGGAAGTAGCTTCAGGCAGCTATGTCCAGGTTGGCTGGCAGCTCTAGATTCTTTTGGGCCACAATTCTGAACTCAGATGTAGATGAACTGGCAGAGAGGTACAGAAAACCATTGGCTGCAACTCTGAAAAGGCTCTTCCCTATTCCACCAGAGATGCTGGTTAGAAAAAGGGACTTTGTGTAGGTCCGACCAGGACAAAATCATCACAACTGAAACATCTCCTGGCTCTGGGAATCACAAGGAGGAAATCCATGCAGCTGCCTCCTAGAAGCCTTTTCAGGTTTGCCGATTACACCCACTCCTCATTCCATTCCAAGGACCAGGTCGTTAAGCGAAATGGTCGCTAGGTGAGAATCACAGTAACTTAGACGTGACCGTAACTGTGCTTGTGACTTTACTTCAGTCTTCCATACTCAATTTCTGTTATCCTTCCCGAAGTGGACATTTTTAACAACTATTTGTACATTCTACTTCAAAATGCTCTTTAATTCTAACATATTTTTGCCCTTAAAAAATACATTGTAACAATGGATTACCTTTTAAATCTTTGCATATCATTCTGACAATTTAAAACTTAGGAACGTTTTTAAAGCTTTGGTTTAATACTGTATGCAGATTTTGTCCTTTTTTTAAGTAGCCGAAATAAAAAAAAGGTCAAATGGAACCTCAATGTATGACAAATTGCTTTATAGGTAGTCCTCGGGTTTTGACAACTTGTTCAGCGACAGTTCAAAGTTACGATGGCACTGATGGGGACTTACAACTGTACTTGGAGTTCTAGCCATTGCAGCATCCCCTTAGTCACAATTACAACATCGCAGCTAGCCACGGTCACATGACCACCATTTGCAACTTCCTGGCTGGCTTCCCACAAGCAAAGTCAATGGGGAAGCCAGCAGAGAAGGTTGGAAGTCGCTCCTGTAAGTTGCTCCTGTTACTTTTTCTCCCAAGGAGCTGTATTACAGAGATTGTAGGGATCTTGTACTCCGCAGCACTCACCCTGCGCAGTGGCTCCTGCTGGCCTACCCATGCTAAGTAGAGCCTGCCCGAGGCACTCACCCACTCATCCGCAGCTCTCGCCTGTGGGCATCCTTGGCTATGACTCTGGCCACATGAGGTCCTCTCTTAACCACCCATGGGGTCTCTGGGTTACAATGGCAACCAGGACTGCCAGGGTTGTGGTCGCTAAGTGATGCAGTCGTGTGACATCACGCTTTATGACCACACCAATAAGTGATGGAAATTCCAGTCCCAACTGACGTCGTAACCCGAGGACTACCCGTATGAGTACAAAATTAGGCATAATAATATTGTGTTACCAAAATAAAGTACATTACAGGTAATCCTCGTTTAGAGACTGCAATTAGGATCACAATTGTTAAACTACATAGTCGCTAAGTGAAACCACAACTGTGCATATGATCTTACAAGTAGTCCTCATTTAGTGACTTCATTTAGCAAACATTTGCAGTTATGACAGTGAAGAAAAAGTAACTTTACAATCAGTTGTTGCATTTACGACCTTTGCAGCTCTGTAAAGCAAAAGAAAGCTGAATCAGGATCATAAGCAAAGTATCTGTACTTCAGATTCCTTTGCTTTGCAGACCTGTGAAGGTTGTAAATTGGCAGCTTGGTTGTAAAGTTACTTTTTCATCATTGCTGTAACTCTGGCTACTAAATGAGGCAGTCACTAAATGAGGACCACCTGTACAAAATCACATTTTACAATTACAGTACCTGTAAACATCAAATTCGATATAAATCCTTTGAAAGGTTCATTTTTTTCTGTGTTTTCGGAAACTTCAGATACGCTGGCATAGCTGGTTGACGGCTGAGGATGGTCTGGGTGTTCTATTCCTGTGGATGGGGAGGGAAATAGGGAGGGAAGTGGAGTTGAGGAAGGAGTAACTTTCTTAAAGAACCCACTATGTTTGGTTTCCACAGTTTTTTTCTTTTTTCCTTCATATATTTCACGATAACACTTTAAGATTTCACACATTTCCCAATGTACCTTTCTAAAACGTTCTACATTTGGATCCATACTTTCTAATTCTGATAAAATTTTGTTAATGCCCGAGAAAACACCAGCCAGTCTTTTCACACTGAATGTTTTGGGCTTAACTTCTACAATCTTTTTTTCTTCTTTTTTTTCTTTTTCTTTTTCTTTTTCTTTTCCTTGTTCTTGTTCTTTTTCTTGTTCTTCCAGTACTCGTTGTGCTTCTAATTCTTCTTTTAGTTCGATTAAATCTT